AAAAAAGCCGGAAGTGGTGCTGTGGCTCAAGTGGTAGAGTGGTAGCCTTGAGCTGAAAAGCTGAGGGACAGTGCCTATGCCCAGAGTTCAGGCCCCACAACCAGACCCCCAAAAAAAATGTTCTCTGGCCACTTATTTACCAAGGACATTGCCCTGGTGCTTTAGCTTTGCAATAATTTCTTTGTTGTCTTATTCTACTGTTGGCAATACAAAGTCTGACTCTGATTTTCATTCCTTTGTAATTAATTCATTTCTATGAAGTTTTTTTCTGTTTTAAGTTTTAACAATCTATATATTCAGTCTGATATGATTAGTTTTATGTTTTCTTTATCATAGTTGGATCTTTGTCACATTTTTCTTGAGTTCTGGGAAATTCTGTCACTGTTCTTTCAAATATTGCTTTCCTTTTTTGTTCTTCTTGATCTTCCAAGCCCTCTATGCCTTTTAACTTTTTATTTCATGTGTTTCAAATTTTGTTACTTTGTACTACAGTTGAGGAAATTGTACAATTCTGATACCCAGCTTAATAATGCACTCTTCAGTTGGATAGAAATAAAGGGGCAGCTGGGCATAGGTGACTCATGCCTATAATCCTAGCTACTCAAGAGACTGAGATCATAGGAGCGTAGTTCAAAGCCAGCCTGGGCAGGAAAGGCCGGGAGACCCTTATCACCAATAAACCACTCAGAAAACCGGAAGTGGTGCTATGGCTCAAGTGGTAGAGTGCCTGCCTTGAGCTGAAGAGCTGAGGCCCAGGCCCAGAGTTCAAGCCCCATGACCAAAAAGAAAAAGGGGAGGGGGGCATGCTCTCAGAAGTAAGTACTTTAGTCAGAATAGATGTACTGTTAATCCCTGAAACATCTTCTCACAAGACCATAACTTTTACATCATAGATTATTGAATGTCTGAAAGAGAACAAGAAGCAGCTAAGTCCCCGTTGCCACCAGAAAGTATTTAAGCTGCAGGAGACAGAAATGATGGACCCAGAGCTAGACTATACACTCATGCGTGTCTGCAAGCAGATGATAAAGGTAAGCAGTAAGTGCATCTTAAGTGTGAACAACAGAGTAAACCTTGGTTAAACATTGTCAAGTCAGTTGTTCTCTGGTATGGCCCCAAAGCCAACAGCATCTGCTGGCAACTTACAGATTCCTGGGCTCTACCTGGTTGTGCTGAGTCAAGAACTCTAGGAGTAGAGCCCCAGACTGTTCACAAGTAATGCTAATGCCTGCTTCAGTTAGAAAACCTCAGAGCTAAGATAATTGATCTCACTTTGACTTGAGGCAAAATAAATAGATGTCCAGTATGTACAGGAATGGTTTTGAAGGTGTTGAGAAAGACATCAGCTGGTTCTGATCAAATTATCTCCAGCACTTAAAAGATTTTTCTGTTCTTTTGCTTTATTAGTCTTCTGGTGAATGTTCTTAGGAGTTCCTTGATCTGTTCACATACACAAAGAAATCAGATATGAAGTTGAACTCCTTATTTCAGCTTTCTTTTAAAACAAAATGTAATTTTTACTCTTTCATATAACTCCTAAAGAGAATTTTGAATGTTAAATGTAAATAATTAGCCAAGTAGTCGGGAGCTGGTGGCTCACGCCTGTAATACTAGCTGCTCTGAAGGCTGAGATCTGAGGATCATGGTTCAAAACCAGTCCAGGCAGGAAAGGCCATGAGACTCTTACCTCCAATTAACTACCTGAAAACTAGAAGTGGCCCTGTGGTTCACAATGGTAGAGCACTAGCCTTGTGTGAAAGAGCTCAAGCCCCATGACCAATAAAAAAATAACAACTAACTAGGTGCCAGTGGCTCATATCTCGAATTAATTACCACCCAAAACATGCAGACCCTGAGTCCAAGCCTCAGAACCAGCAGTAAAAAAAATAAAAGTAGCTGGGCACTGGTGGCTCACGCCTGTAGTCCTAGCTACTCAGGAGACTGAGATCTGAGGATCACAGTTCAAAGCTAGCCTGGGCAAGAAAATCTGTGAGACTCTTATCTTCAATAAACCACCAGAAAAAAACGGAAGTGGTGCTGTGGCTCAAGTGGTAGAGCACTACCCTTGATCTGAAGAGCTGAGGGACAGTGTCAGGCCCAGAGTTCAAGCCCCACAACTGATAAATAAATAAACAAACAAACAGTAAATCTCTTAAGTGGCTCTGGTACAGTGGGTTCATATGGAAAAGTCAGGCTCTGATTTTAGAGAGATTAAGATTAGTAAGATTTTATTTCAAAAAAAAAAATCAGCAGTCTCATCCTCAGGTTAAGATGCTGATAGGTACTTGAATTATGCACACTTCAGAGAATTGGAAAGTGGCTTAGTGTTGGAATGTCTTAACCTTAAATATGAAAATTTAGAGTTTATTACTAGTCCCAAACTAAGCTCTGGCCTAAGAGACAGCAGTAAATATAGAATGTTTAATATTATAGCTCCCTGAAATTAAGATGAACCAGCACAAAAACACACACACAGACA